TATATATATATATATATATATATTAAAAATGTTAGCATATATATGTGGATAGAGTAGGGTAAGAATACGAAAATTTTGTAAGTATTCTATATTCTTATCCAATTTTTTGTGGAATAGCAAAAGATCTTCCGTTAGCCTATTTGATTTTTTCAGATAGGTGATCAATAAGGTAGGGTATGATCGAAATTTATGGGTAATTGAAAATTTAAATACCCCTAGTCCCACGTGAGTGAAGCATTCAGTAAATTTCAGTCTTATGGGCCAACCAAGTCACACAAGAACACAACTGGGAAGACATTTTTTTTTCTTTTTCTTTTTTGTGGTGGTGGGAGAAGGAGAGGGAAGAGAATGATGTAAGAACCTGAAATCACATGCGGGTGAGAATCAACCTTTACCACTGAGTCATTCTCTCACCTCGCACAATCAATAAGACTCGGTAAATCCTAAAACAGAAACCCTAAACGACTATTTTTTCTATTTTCAATTAATTTAAAATTTATTCCATCAATTTTTTGAGATGTAAACTTGCTAATTATATTTTTGTACACTAGTTTTGCTAACATATATTTTTTTATTTGACGGTTTGACAAAAACTTGATTTTAGGTAGTATTTATGAATTTTATTTTGGAAAATTGTGTCTATAGGGGCAACTATTTAAGTTATTATCAATAATATTTTTTGAGCAATAAATAAATGTATTTTTTTCAAAAAAAAAACCCTCCGGTTTTTTTATACAATTCAAAACATCAATTGGAGTGTGTTCTTTTGTGTGTATTTTTTTTAAATTTTTTCATGATTAATTCCAATTTTTGGGATCTTTAAACCCAATTTTGTGTGATTTTATGAGCCTTGATTGTTGAATTTAGATTTATTTCACAACAACATAGCCCTCGATGAACAAGTAATTTCAAGTCTTATTAGCTGTTAATTTTGAATGAAACACTTTTTGTATAGAACATAACATGAGCTTAGTATATGTAATTTCTGTCATTGCGAGTACTACTTTTCGGTATTATACCTCTATTTTTCATCTAATAAAAAACCACTAGGTACCTCTTTTCTTTCATGTATTTTATTATTTTTTAGTACTTCACAATTTTTTTCAATCAATGGTCGCAGATTACTCAAATTAAAATCAACAGCATGGATTAAATTTCGGTACGCTATCTCTGAGATACCGCAATCTTATCCTTCACCTATATATTGCCCTCCACATCCTGCCTTGCTTTTCATAAATACCCTAAGCTTTTCCTAGGCATTATAGTGAAACCAAAAAATGGGCATGTCTAAGACCCCACTGGCCCTTGTTTGCCTCCTAATCTTGGCCATTGTTCATTCCTCTCAATCTCAAAACTCCCAACAAGACTACCTCGAAGCTCACAAAGCCGCTCGTGCCGAGGTTGGCGTCGGGGATATGTCATGGGATGATAACTTGACAGCCTATGCACAAAACTATGCCAATCAGAGGATGGGAGACTGTAACCTCACACACTCACAGAACGTTCCGTATGGGGAGAACATCGCCATTGGCAACGGTGGCTTCACCGGAAAGGCGGCCGTGGACCTTTGGGTGCAAGAGAAGGCAGATTATGACTATAATTCCAACAATTGCACTGAAGGGAAGATGTGTGGACACTATACTCAGGTGGTTTGGCGTGACTCGGTTCGCCTCGGGTGTGCTAGGGTTCAATGCAACAATAGCTGGTGGTTTGTGACTTGCAACTATGATCCCCCGGGTAATTACATTGGGCGGCGTCCATATTAAGATTGTATGTGGTATACCTGCTAATAGAATTATTAGCATGTAATAAGCTACACTTGTAGTGGCAAAAACTAAAGAAATAATATGTCTTCTCATCTTCTACTTCTGTTGACGCCTAATAAGTGCAATGGCTATACCCTATTACCATAGTGCATATGCTCTCCTTTGTTTGTGAATGTCTACTCTTTTATTTTTTTTTTTTGTTTCTCAGTGACGGTGTGAATTGAGTCAAACTTGAGCATGTTCAAATCCAATCCGGTGGCGATTGGCCATCTTCGATTGTCAAACTTAAATTTTTACTCAAGCTCGGCTCAATAGAAACTTATGACCAGTATTCAAGTCTAAACCAAAATCGATCAATTTCTCCATAGAAATTTTAAAAAACTTGACTTACTAATCAAGCCTAAAAAATCAATTTCTATATAACAATCCTCTAGAATCTGTCGAACAAACGTTAAAAGTTTCAACTTTCAAAAATTTATTAGAGAAGAAAAGGAAAGAGAAGTCTAGGTATTTAATAAGCTCGGAATTAGTTATTTTTGAATAAGGGTTGTTTGAAAACAAATTTGGATTATCTAGAGACAATAACTTTTTCCATCCAAGACACACATTGCTTCAATTTGACCTATTTACAAAATGAACTTAGAAATCTCATCGATTTTAGTCCGCTATATTAATTGAATAAGCGTTAATGAACCAAAAATCAAGCCAAACCATGCATGCTCGAGCTGTTTGAATTATGAAAGAAAAACAACTCAACCAAAGTTTTCAATGTTTGCCTTACTAATGCAAGCCTTGTGCTCACGCATGAGATGAGACATTTCTTATATCTACCACTTTCAGTCTTTGGATACTAAAACCTAATTTTTTTTTTTTTTGCCAATGATACCATTGAGATGATTCTTATACTCAGACTTAGCACTAGAATGGTTCAAATATGCTATGCCTAGTTGGTGCAACCCTATGGCCCAGGCCATGAGGAATATAAATTTTTTATAAGAATTCTAGTTCCGACGTGGACGACTTTCCTTTAACCAGGCCAGAGAGGAAATTAGTCTAGATGTTGTGACATGAAACATGGTTTGGGGGCATGGTTTTAAAGATTGGTAACGACAATGACAACAATAATAATAGTGGTGCAATAGACGCTAGATTTATTCACGTGTGTGACAAGGAAAGAAAACTAGAGTCGTAATTCTTTTTTCTTTCACACCCCTTTCAAAATTTAAATGCACAGTCAAAACCATACATAATGTAGGTTGTTAGTAGTTGCTACTGAATTTTATTGTATTAAACACAAGATTTTAAGGTGTTACAATTTCTCAAAGGATAAAAATGGGTCATTTGTCAACGTTTTCAGTTTTTAGTTTTCAAAAAAATAAAATAAAAATAAAAATATACTATTTATTTGGTTGTTGTTTTGGTTGTGAGAAATTATGAAAACGAAAATGAAAAACTTGTTTGAAAACCACTTCTTATTAAGATATAAATAATTTTTTTATATTATTTTTATATGTTAAAAACAAGTAAGAAAAGAAAAAGCAAGAATATTAATCTCATAATTCATTATAATCTATATAATAAATCAGATAGATATTTGAATTTATAAGATATATATTTTTTCTCCCAAATTTCACACATTTCTCCCTCCCTAAAATTTCAAAAACCCAACACACACACACATACACTCTACAACACAAAACTGAAGATACATACACACACTCCAACACACACATCCCAATGTATGCATAGTGTAATAATTCAGTGTGCAGTGACTTTAGTCACGGAATATCGCTAACTTATACTAGGACAAAAGCATCCCACAAGTTATAAAAATCCAACAATCCATTCTCCATGGATTATTACACACATTTTTATGCCAACTGAGTTGATGTTGGGCCTTGTGTGACTGCTTTAGTCGGCCAGGCATAGAGGTGACAAAAGGGTGGCTGGGTTAAGTTGGTAATGGGCTGATTCAATCCATTTTTAACTTCTTTAATAAATAAGTTATAATTAGTTGAATTATAACGGATTAATCCATAAAATAATTAAAACTTGAACACATATTAATACACTAAAACACACACACTATTACAGTAAAAATACATATATTAATAAACTAAAAATATACACATATATTTGAGATGTTTATCAAAGTGCAACTCGACATTATTTTCTATCGTCTATTAGTCAATCCATTCTAATTTTTTTAGCAACTTCTTTTTCTATATATATATATATAATCAAAAAGTCTACGAGAAAATCATCTTTCATGCAGTTGCAAAGTTCAGATTTGAAATATTTATAGTCAAAACAGCATGATCCATAGTGACAATAAAAATTGAAAGTGTAAGCACAAGTTTGACCAATCTTGAAAGATCTGTATGCATAAGTATATCATGCTCAAAAAGCTGAAATTGCACACTCACAACAACTCTCCGCCTTCGTGAAGTCACGAGGGTAGAAACATGTCCTAAATTGTATTTTACATAAAAATAAGCAAGAGTATGCAACCCCTTGGCCTCTCTTTTTTTAGGTGGAGGTAAAATGGAGCGTCCAAAAACTACTCCAGTAAGTTTTTATTGATAAGATCATGAAACTCCTGATCGCACCCGTTACTCTTTTCGAGAATGAATCAAATTAAGCTAATATAACAGTCAATTATTGAGTTTCAATGTGAATTTCAAGACTCCAACCTCCAACTTCAAAATAAAAAATTTGGACGATATCCCACTGGACCACCCTATTCGATGGTCCCGGGGCCTCTCTTCATGGGGTAGTCTCTAGGCCTCTCTTAAGTTCTGTCATATTCATGAATAAAATTAACAACTATAATTAATTTAAATAAGACTTTACCTATCAAAACCCGAAAAATTCGGTTCAATGAACCCAGGATGTCCATGTCACAGCCGTCACATTTGGAAATTTCTACTTCTCTATTGTTTCCAAATCGGAGAGGGCACGAAAACCAAATGACTCAATGTCGAATATGCTTATGAACAATCTACCCAGCAAAAGCAAAAGGACAATAATTTTAGTACGTATATAAGATGAAAAACTACTAGCTGAACAAATATCTAATACAAATAATTATATTAAGATCAAATTTGACTTAAACAAAGAGTCCAAGAAAATAAAAACTAAGTAAATAAGCATTGTCCATTAGTTGCAGAGCTGATCAAAAATCTCACTCCCATCTATTTTTTGAATGCTCATACTCAGAAAGAGTTTGGAGGAATGTCATTAGCAAGTGTGATTGGCCATGACAATCTTTTTGGCAGAGTCTCGTTGAGGCTATGTGCACCCAATGAAAAGGCAAACAACTATAGAATTCCTTTAGGAAACTAAGTCTTGCTGTCACAGTTTAGGCTATATGGGGAGAAAGAAATCATAGAATTTTTACCAATGAACATAACGATCTGTTACTACCCAGATGATGGTTTTGAATATGGTGAGAAGTAGGCTTCTCTCAACCAAAGTCAAGGACGCCCTTCTTCCAAAGACAGGTGGCTTCTTCATGGCAACTTTCAGACTCTTGTTTTGCACATGATGTAAATCCAGTTTGTAGTCTACAGGTTTAAGTAATCTATGGGGAGTGCAATATGCAACCCCCCATATTTTCTCTGCCCTGCTTTTGTGTTGGGATTTAACTCGATTTAAATCCACTAACAAACACACACAATCGAAGAACAAATCAAGAATATAAAGCAATAAGAAATAAGAAAGAACAAGACACAGATTTTACGTGGTTCAGCAATTTGCCTACGTCCACGAAACTGCAGGGATTTCACTATTGAGAGAGTTGAATTACAGAGAGCGGCTATACAATCCACAACAAATCCTAATCACCAAAACAACAGGGTTTATATGTCCTATACACTGGGCTATATAACGGCTTGGGCTTATTGGCCCAAGCCTTCGCTTCAAGGACTAAGCCTCAGAAAATTTTTCATTAAAAATCACACAACATTATTTCGGGTCGAGTCATCATCCGGATTACATATACAAACTAGACTCCATAAAAAAAAACCAACATTTTGATGGATTGACCGTAGGTTGCTACAGTCTTAATCCATGTTTCTTTGTTTTTGTTTCTTTGTTTTTGTTTCTTTGTAATACATATTCTTCAATACAACTTCCTGGTATGTTTACCAAAAAAAAAAGCATTGCCCATTGGAACTTAGATTAGTTGTTGATGCAAACACTATGGAGAAGAATGAACAAATTCTAAAAGGGTAGAATTTGTTCACAATCACATTCACAGGATGTTCAAAATCAAAAGCGTTGCCTGTCAAGTCAATGGTAAAAATATGGACTTAGGAAGCTTTGCTACATTTGATTACTAGCGCCAGTCTTGTCTTGTGTGATAATCTCTCTGCTTTCACTCCCTACCCCGGACCACATACTCACCCCTAATTAGGGGAGTCAATTGAGATAAGTTACTCGAGTTCGATTTCAACAGAACACGGTTTAAATTCAATTATTCTAAATGAGCTGAATTTGAACAAATTCTTAAGCTCGTTTAGAAAAAACGAGCCTAAAAATGCAAGTTCACAAAATTCGGCTCATTTATATGTAAAATAGGCGAGCTATTCGAGCTCGACTCATTTTCTAAACAAATCGAACTTGAACAATTTTTAGAATCGTTTAAAAAATGAGCTCAACAGACTCGGGCTCAAGCTCTCAAAACTTGGCTCAATTAATACCCCTATCCCTAACCCCCACCCTAAACTCAGTTGAACATTATTGAAGAAACATTCATTAATGTATTAAATTAATTTTTAAGGGGAAAAAAATGCGTAAATATGAATTTGTTACCAAAGATAGAGGTGATTAGATATGTTAAATGAAAGAGTTTAATTAGATGGATTAACTTACATAATTACGAGAATTCAATATTTAAGGAGGGTAGGCTTCACAACCTTTCTCTAATAGGATTTGATTGTTGAAGTATCTACAAACTATGCTTTACGCTACTATACACTACAATAATCAATTTAAAGGGCCAGCTTGAGAAGTCTTTTTCCTTCTACAAATACTAAATTATCTTAATTTTGAATTATTTAATAAAAATGTATGCTTCTCCTCCAGTTAAATCCTTCCTTGTGGCCAAGTAACCACTCCCACCATCTTTCTAGTCGATTTCAAATTTTAATTTTTTAAAAACATCATTTTAGTAAACTAAATAGCAAATTGTCCAATAAGGGTTGGGGGTAAGGATGACAATACCAAGAAATTGAGATTTCGTAGATCACACGAAACAACTGTTCGTATAAATAACTTTTCTGATTCAATGTCGAATATGCTTATGAACAATCTTCCAAGCAAGCGCAAAAGTACAATAATTAATGGAGTTAATAATTTAATACAAAATATTACTACCCTTTATATATATATATATATATATATTAATTTATTGTTTTTCTTCTTCAATAAGTTTAGACATTAGAAATCTATTTTTTCTACCGAAAGGAAATAGAGAGAAAGGGATTGGTTTACTTTGGAGAGCGAAAAACTAAACGAGTTTTTTAGTACAATAAGAGGAGAGAGAGACTACCTTATGATGAATACATTTAATAATAAATATTAATTTTATAAATAGTAAATCTTTTCGTATATTAATGAGTTTTTTTTTGTTACAGGGTATTGAAGCTTGTGTCACTTACTCCTTCGAACTCAACAGCTGGCCACCGTGGTTTGAACTGAATTAGAGCCGTACATTAATGGGTATGTTACGTTTAAACATTAGATAGTATCGAATTGGACAAACCTGTCTATTCCATACCTATCCATTCGGGACTTGGACTAATTATAGTGATAATGCATTCTCATCCTATGTTTGGTTCAAGTATTAAGAAATAATAAACCTCACATTTATCTTATCCAATACTTTATTTTGATGAAATATTGAATGATGATATAATTGCAGTTCATCTATATATATCAAAATCAATTAATATGGTAAAAGAAAAGTCCACATCATTGTTAAAAATAATAAAATAAGTAATTCTCTACGTACAATACTAACTAACATGTTATTCATGTCTAACATTAATTTGATTTATTTATTATCAGTGTTAATTAATTTTGTCATTTTGAATTCGTGTCATATTGGGTCTGTGTCGTACGCATCCACCGGTAAAATTGACACTCCTACTTCAAGGACATTGGGAAAAATCAGCAAGCAGCAACTTGCAAGGCTTAACCGAAATTTCCTATATTGGGTTTGTGCAATAATTATGATAGGATGAAGTTTATTATTTGAGCTTTCTTGTGTTTTATTGTAATTGTTATTATAATTGCATTAAGTTTTAATGTTATTGGTTTATTTAGTTATTAAATTGGTCCAGCTTACCTAATTAAATTGTTAAAATGATCCAAAAATTAATAACTATAAAATGCACCCGATTTCCTCTCAAAATATTGATTAAGAAGATGAAAAATCATATTTTCTACCCATAGAGTAGAGTGAATACCCCTAGTTTGAGGACCACTCTGGTCTAAATCTTGCGTTAGTCAGCTCTTTTTAGGCTCTATATAGGGGGGGGGGGAGATATGAACAATTGCATAAAATAGGCATATAGAAGAATGGATAAGGATTACTTGGACTCGATTTTAGTTCGTTGAAGTTTGTTCATATTGAAAAATAAACAAAAAATGAACAAACTTTTAAACTCGAACTTTGTGTCGCTTGTATTGGTAGGATCGGACGTGATTTGTTTGCAATATTATATATACATATTTTCTCTAGTGAAGAAATAACATCATAGCACCGGATAATTTAATGTACAAGTTGTTTGATTTCTAACCTGAACATTGCGTATCAAAATCCCTTTAATTTGGACATGGATTTCTATGTACGCAAACTTGATGATAACATTAAATGTCCAACAAATGGAAGCTCTGCAACTTACCTGGTCAGACGATAGTGGAGAGAGAGACTTACTGCTCAGCCGACAGTGGAAAGTGAAGAGAGACGATGGAGAGAAAGACGATGGAGGGAGAGATGATTGAAAGAGAGAGACAAAGTGCTGAGCGCAGCAACGTTACCTGCGTAGGAGAGGAGGACAGAGACGTTCTTCAGTGGAGGGCCTGGACTGGATTGAGTGGAGGTGGAGGTGGAGGTGGAGGCGGTGGACTGACTCAGGCTGATATTGGAAGGAGTAAGTTAGGGTTGAACTAATTTAATTATATATATATATAAAATAAAATAGGATTGTGTTTGAATTTTATTCCAGTCATATTTTTTCCCTCAAAACCATCACCAATCACTTATCTCACCCATCATCTCTTTGTCAGACTCAAACGTCAAATCGCATCACTCATTTTTATCACTTATTTAATTATTTATATATTTTTTTCCTAAAAATATCATCTCACTCATTTCTATCATATATTTAATCATTTAATATTTAATTAATTTGTAATTAATGTATTTTGAAAAAATTTAATATAGTGAGATCAATTTTTTAGACACTCGAATTTTATATTTTATTGTGTCTTCAGGTACGGATTATGACTAGTATATATATATAACGTGTCTTAGGGGCGGGGAGGAGAGGGGAGGGACGAGGCGGGGATAAGGGTAAGTTCATCTTTGCTTTCATTTACGTATGAGTTTATACGGATATTTTTGTATACGTCAATCATTTAATACGTATGATCTATCACTAATTCAAATGGAACGAGTTTGAATAAATACTAATTTTTTTTCGATTCACCGCCATCCCTACATGACCCTAACCATTGCCTTCTTATGTACGTAGATTTGATGGTGACAATAAACAAACAAATTTACTATGTAGAAAAATTGGATTATCGTCAATTATGACAACCAATCTTCATGGACCCAACAATTGGCTTCTTACGTACATAGATTTGGTGACGACAATCAAGAAAAAAATAATTTGGCATAATGTACAAGACTCAAGACTTTCATTTTCCAAATGCTTCCAAGTTTTTTCTCTTCTTTGTTTTTTTTTTTGAATCAATTTAATTTTTTATTTCAAAATGTCTAATATTTAAATTCACAATTTTAGTACGTATATTTAAGATGAAAAACTACTAGCTGAACAAATATCTAATACAAATAATTATATTAAGACGAAATTTGACTTAAACAAATAGTCCAAGAAAAAAAAATCTAAGTAAATAAGCACTGTCCATTGGAACTTAGAGAGAGAGAGAGAGAATAAGTAGAGTCTTGTAATCTTTTGTAAATAATATGGTGTGATTTGTTTGTTAACGTTATTAAAAATTTACTTACACACGCACACACACACACACACATATATATCTATATATAGAGAGAGAAAGAGAGAGAGAGAGAGAGAGAGAACAAGAGCTTTTGGGGCAAAAAGGAGTATGAAACAAAAAAACCACCTTTGTAACCACAAGACTTTGTTAAGAAAAAAAAACTGAATACTTTAGTTGTTAGTTTTGCGTGAATTATGTTAAATCTAACATTTTTTGTTAGTTTTGCGTGAATTATGTTACATCTAACACTTTTTTGTTTTTTTTGAACGAAGAACTAAATATAGTATCATATGAGACTTCCGTAATTATGGAATATAAAAAGGATAAGACGTGTGTAACATTATTCTCATGTGCAAAAAGAGATAATTTTTGTAATTTGGACCATGACTTTGATTTTAAGTTAAAAAAGTCTTATCAAGACCCAATATCTAAGAATTAATAGTAATTATTTTTATTAATTCAATAGTTGTAGTGAATTAAGTCAATAAATTAGGTTCAAATAACATATAACTCTATCATCCCCTAATTTAATGACTTAATTTACTGATCTAATCCGCTACATCTATTAATTGTGGACCACATCCAATATTGAGACTTGTGCTAATTCAACGGCTATAATGAATTTGATCAGTAAATTAAGTTTAAATAACATTATTATATCATCAAGTATAACATTATTGTATTCTTTTTATTTTGGGGATGAAGGATCTTCATTTCTTCTGTTCAGAAGATGAATCATCTCGTTGGATTCTCTTTTGTAAATTGTTCCTGGACCTCTTTTTATTTTTGTTATATTTATTTTTCTTATCAGAAAAAAAAAATGTTATTCAAATTTAATTTATTAACCTAATTTATTACGGTCGTTAGATTGATAGTGAACCTCATCCAACATAGAAATTTGACATTAATTTAATAACTACGGTGAATTAAGCCGATAAATTAAATTGAATAACATCATTCCATCATCAAACTTTCTCATCATAAATGTAGAGAAAGTTACTGCATCCAAACACGGTTGTCGTGGAACGTGTGTTATGACTAAACCGTCTGAATTAGCATTCCTCTTTTACCTATATATAGGCCTTTCATCTCCTACCAAGTTGTTCAANTGACTAAACCGTCTGAAAAACGTTTCTCTTTCACCTATATATAGGCCTTTCATCTCCTACCTAGTTTTTCACAAATAACCTAAGATTTTGCTAAGCAATAGAGTGATATCAAAATGGGTATGTGTAAGACCTCACTAGCCCTTGTTTGCCTCCTAGGCTTGGTAATGTTTCATTCCTCTCAAGCCCAAAACTCACCCCAAGACTACCTCAATGCCCACAATGCAGCTCGTTCACAGGTGGGTGCTGGTCCTCTGACATGGGACAACAAAGTAGCCTCCTATGCACAAAACTATGCAAATCAAAGGATCAATGACTGCAACCTCAAGCACTCGCAAGGCCAATACGGCGAAAACCTGGCCACCGCAACTCCCACCTTATCCGGAACCAGTGCAGTGAACCTGTGGGTCGGTGAGAGGGTTAATTATGACCACAATTCCAATTCTTGTACTGGTGGGCAGTGCGGGCACTATACTCAGGTGGTTTGGCGCAACTCGGTTCGTCTCGGTTGTGCTAGGGTTCAATGCAAAAATGGCTGGTGGTTTGTGACTTGCAACTACGATCCACCGGGCAATGTCATCGGGCAGCGTCCTTACTAGAGAGATGGATCTTTAATAAATCTTTAAGCAAATGCTAGTAGGTAATAGCGTTTGATCATAAATAAGACTATGCTGTGTGCTCTTGAGTGATAATTTACCTTAACCAAACAGCCTTGTATCTCTCATTATTCTTGCTATATAATTATGCTGTGTTTGTGGAAATTTAATACCCTTAACTCTAAATGATAGTTTAAGTGATAATAAGAAAGAGCTATAAACCCAAATTGTTGAATTCGATTTACATCTCTTTTTATAGGTTATCAAAGCGGACATAAGACTTCATCCACCTTTTTTTACACCATGACCTTCTATGTCTGCAGACTTGCTGATAACATAAAATGTCCAACATGTGGCACCAGTCTTCATGGATCCAACCATTGCCTTCTTGTGTGCGTAGATTTGATAAAAATTTACCCACGACACTCTGGTCGCTACATATCTCAAAAATATTTGATATACGTAACCTTATCTGTATATTTCTGTGGTTCGAACTTGAAAACTTGGATCATCACCAACTACGGCTTTCAGATAAATACAACGTGCGAACTCAAGCCCTTGTTTCTTCATTCGTCCAATATGTCGGCTTCACAAAATGAGGTAAGAGAATGAGGTAGGAACCTACAATCACATACGGACGAGAAAGAACTTTTACCACTGGGTCATTCCCTCACCTCGCACCACCGGTAAGACTCGAGGGTTTCATTTTTCTTCTGATTTGTTCTATGCATTCAAGTGGATTGTGCACTAATCAAGGGCACTTCACGGCAGAATCAATTTTGTGAGGTTTTTCTTTTTGTTTGGGGGAAAGGAATACATATACAGTGATTGAAATTGCTTAATTTCTTGGAACTATTGTCATACCAACAAAATTTATTCTATCCATTTTTTGAGATGTAAACTTGCTAATTATATATATTTTTGTACACTAGTTTTGCTAACACATATTTTTTTAATTGATGGTTTGACAAAAAACTTGACTATACGTAGTATTTATGAATTTTATTTCGGAAAACTGTGTGTATAGGGGCAACTATTTAAGTTATTATCAATAATATTTTGTGAGCAATACATGCATTTTTCAGAAAAAAAAAAAAAAAACTGGTATTTTATTACAATTTAATACATCAATTGGAGTGTGTTCTTTTGTATGTATTTTTTTTTTTTTAAATATCTTCATGATTCATTTCGATTTTTGGAACCTTTAAACCCGATTTTATGAGCCTCGATTGTTGAGTTTAGATTTTTTTTCTAAACTTAAATTTTTATGGGGTCTTATTTCTGAGTATAAGATGGCATGTTCTAGCATGTTAGCTGTCAGTTCACAATAACATAGTCCTCGATGAACAATTAATTTCAAGTCTTGTTAGCTCTAAATTTTAAATGAAACAATTTTTGTACATAACATGAGCTTAGTGCATGTGATTTCTGCCATTGCGAGTATGAGAATGAAATATATTATATCTATAATCTATAATATAAAACATGATATGTTTTAATAAACTCATTCGACGATTTCAAATAAACTAATCTAACGGTCACAAATATCTCTCCCAAAATCATTTACATTGAATTTTACCGTTCTCTACTCACTCTTCACTCTCAGTTTAGGATATTCATTTCTCACTTCTCTAAATTAATCAGTTGATTTACGTTACACCGTGCCTTCAACTATGGGTTACCCCTAGTATATAAATATACTAAGCCTTATTGATGTATGCAAAAACACTGCTTACCTGACTAACCCCCCCCCCCCCCCCCCCCCCCCCCCCCCTTTTTTTTTTTAAAAAAA